TAAAAAATGTAGAAGAGAATTATAGAATAAATGAATGATATTATTGATAATGATTTGTAAATTGTAGAGAGTAGATAATGAAAGTTTGGTGGGAAAAAAATATTGTAATGAGTTGGGTATTTATAGGAGAAGAAAACTAGAGAAGTATAAATTTTTTTTTTTAAATTGGTGATCGGAACGGTCACTGAATCACTGAATAGTGACGAGCCGAGCGGGCTCGGCTCATCTAGCGAGCCAGCCCACTCGGCTCGTGCTCTCTTTTTAACGAGCTCGAGCGGCTCGTGGACGTGAACAGTACGAACCGCTTGGCTCGATTGACACCACTAAATAGTTGTTTTTCATATTTTGAGTGTTTTCATAATTTTTGTTGAAAACATTCAAAACGTAAAAAATATGTTTTGAATTTTATATTATGAATCTATCGTTGTTTTTAGAAATGAATTTTGAAAACTAACATATCAAACATATTTTTAGTGTTTTGCAAAATTGAAAACTACTCGAAAATAGCACATCAAACTCACTATAAATATCTTTAATTGATTAGTCGGAAATACCTAGCTCATTTTTTATAGAAGGTAATCGATGTAATACAATTCGTGTGGGCCATGACTTGAACCACCATCATCGTTAGTTAAACTTCTTTATATTAAAACTCAAAAAATACTTCTCAGTCCCACAAAGTATTTGTTTCAAATTATAAACTAATTTTCTTCTTGAGAGTTTAATCTTAATTTGCTAATATACCCCTCTTGTTATCAATAAATATAAACTATCACTATTCAATATATGAGTATGTTAAGAAAAATGTAAGTAAAATTATAGCTCTAATGTATATAAATTAAGTTTTCTAAATCTGTTTAAAAATAGAAATAAATTTATTTTTATGAGATGGGGAAGTATTGAATTTCTAATATTTAAGTTTTCCTAACTTCACTTGAAAACCTTAGGGGCACGATTATTAAAGTTGGTCTTGCAGGATGATGGACGTTGTATTTCATTGTTTAAAAAAGCGTAAAGTATGACAAAATGGGGAAGTCAAACTACGACCTAGCCGAGCGTAGGCATAAAAAAAGATAAATTTTTTTTATTTTATTATTATTTTAAAATTTTAAATTAATCTAAAAATTATTTAGTATAGCCACATTTTTTTCTTAAAAATGCATTTTGAAATAATAGATTGATGAGAAATGAGTGGTTGAAAAATAAAATAAAAGTTGAATTTGCGTGTAATATTATTTTGTTAAAGAATGTGATGTTGAAAAGGAGAAAATAAAAAAATGTATTTTGAAAATAACAGAGATCAAACAAAAAGGTGTAAAAAGTGATAAAAAAAAGTGAGTCTAGACATGAAAAAAAGTAAAAATAAAAAATGGGAAAAAACGCAAGACGGGTCGTTTTACCAAATAATGGTTGTTAAAAAAGAATAATTCTACTCAAACAGGGGTAAAAAACAGGGAGAAGTGACCGACCCTCACAGTGCCGGGCCCCACGTGAATAAAATATTTCCCCAAAATGTGTGGGCCCTCCCCCCTTGTGAGTCATCGGTCACCTGACCCTGTCACCTCCCCCTGTTTATGCAGCTCGGCTCGTTAAAAAATGCTTGTTGTGACGTGTGGTTGAAAATTACGAGTTTTTAAGCGGTGGTTAAATCAGGGGCCAAATCAGCGACAAATGGACAATTCACCATTTTATCCACGGTATAATACTGATCAAAACCCTCTGTACCCTTTCTTTTCCTCTACCGCTAAACCCAAACCTTTATACTTTGGCGGCTGCTTTTCCTCTCTCTCTCTCCATCTCGAAAGAACGATCCGTACTCAGGGGTCATGGCCGTCATTGCTCCACCGGCTGATCGTATCCTGTTTAGCTTTACTGCTGTTCTGGCACTCCCCTTTCTAGTTTTGATGCGAAAATTAACCTTGTTTTTGTTTTCTATCTGCATAGATGTATATAGGATTCGTTTAGTTTTATGCAGATCTGAACGTGTTGAATCAGATTCTACTGCTCAAGGGAGAGGGGGGGGGGGGGGGGGGGGAATTTTATGGACTTCTTTTCTCATCTTTTTGCGAGATTTTGGATCTATGGATTCTAAGAAGCTATATTTTTTATTTTGTGGTGGGGGGGGGGGGGGGGGTTCTTTTGGAGATTTGAATTGTTTTAGTTTACGAATTTGTTACTAAGGGTGTAGTTTAAATTTTACACTATGATTTTTCAGGGACTGCTGAATTATTTTATTCTCGTACTGACTGCTTGTTTATTCTATCTGGCAGATGAATTTTCTCACTTAGTAGTTAATTTCTATACATTCTTCTGACATCCCTTCATAGAAGGTTTTCTTGTATTCTAATTCCTTGGTATCGATTTGGATCTGTAGTTGAGCTCTGAGTGCTTGTAGTGGATAAGTAGCCGGGAGTACTCTTTCTTTGATCTGATGTGATTTTCTTAGCATGGATTTTATGGTTATTATTACTGCATCTAAGTGACTAAACTAGCAGTATACATCACTTCTGTAATTTGAAAAGACGTGTTCCTTTACTTCTATCTTTTCTATAGAAGCTGCAGATTTGCTGCAGAAGTTGCCTCTTGGCACTCAGACGAAGACTATTGAAATTCCAGAGCATACCAAAAAGGTTAATATCCCTTAATTCTGTAGATTATTATTCTTAGATAACCTTTGTTCTAAGGACCTTTCAAAGATCTGTCTTTGTAATCTTTAATTTTGATGTTGCATACAGTCTTCTAAAGATTCTGTTACTAGCATTCGGAGTCAGTTAAATGAACGGTCAGTGACGCCTACGATGCCAGATATTATGGATCCGACTATGTCTTATATCCCAAATGGTTACCCTTCAACTGCATATTTTTATGGGGGTAAGTTTATCCTTTAGAATATTTAGAACCCATGTTATTATTTTTCCCTAGCCTTTTGAATTGGGAATTGAATTGGAATTTCATTTCATTTTAGTTTGCTTCATGATTTCCGGTCTACTTGACCTTCGTTGTCCCTATGTTTGCAGGCTACAATGGGAGCGGTACTGAATGGGAGGACTACACTAGATACATGAATCTGGATGGAGTAGAGATGACTCCGGTAAGTCCTTTTGACTATTTTGTTTTTGATATATTGATTTGCAAGCATCAGTTATGATAGAATAATGGACTTGTGTATCTGTCACACACACACAGAGTCCTTTGGCCTTCTGTGTAGCTGTGTTTGATTATTAGCCATGTGACCAGTTATGCTTGAATTTCTGATTACATTTCTTTGGTGCCTTGACTAAAATATATAGGGAGTTTATGGGGACAATGGATCACTTGTATATCACCACGGCTATGGTTATGCGCCTTATGGACCATATTCGCCTGCTACTTCGCCTGTTCCAACTCTGGGCCACAATGGTCAGCTTTATGGAGCTCAACAATACCATTACCCTACTCCGTACTTCCAGTCTATGACACCAACAATTAGTCACCCTACTACAGCTGCCACTGTCAAAGGTGAGATATCAACCTCTGCAGCTGCTGATCAAGTGCCTTTGTCAGTGGATTCTGCTAATGCAAAATCTAATGACATTGCAAATAGCGGCAGTGTAAAGGGAAATAATGGTTCAGCAACTTCAAGAGCAGCGTACCAAAATTCATTGTTTAATGCCAGTGACTCTTATGCAAGGGGTGCCTTGTCTGGAGGGATTCCTGCTTCTGGTTATCAGGACCCAAGATTTGGATTTGATGGTTTTCAGTCTCCTGTTCCATGGTTAGATTGCCCATTTTTTCCAGATGGACAGCCAAGGGCAGTGACTACTTCATCCATTTCCAATGTTAATGGCAATTCCTTCTCGAGGAATCAGAATCATCGGCCTCACCTAATGGTATTTATGTCATACTTAACTTTGATTTGATGTAGTATAGTTTGCTAGATTTTTTTTTCATTTTCATGTAAACAAATGATGCTAACATTACTCACCAGTGGATCTTCATGCACACTCTTGCACAGATTTCTGTTTTGAATCTAACCGAGGTTATAGCTATTGGTTGAACAACTGTAGTTTAAATTTCCATTGTGTCATTCCAGGGTTTGCCCCATCCAAGGCCTATATCACGTATGAATACAGCTAATGGTTATGCAAATAGAATGTATCCAAACAAAGTGTATGGTCAGTATGACAGTGCTTACAAATCTGGTCTAGCCTACGGATCTTATGGATATGATTCACGAACATATTATTGTGGATGGATGGCTGCTGATGGCAAGAAAAAACCCAGGGGAAGAGGAAATGAGTTCTACAATTACAGTAATGAAAGTATGGATGGTTTAAATGAATTGAACAGGGGACCAAGAGGCAAAAGCTCCAAGAACCAGAAGGGTTTTACACCACTGGCTCTGGTCGTTAGAGGGCAAAACATCCCGTTAAATGGAGCAGCAGATTGCGAGAAAGAGATAAATGCAACTCCAGATCATGAGCAATACAACCGAACAGATTTCCCTGATAATTATGCTGATGCAAAGTTTTATATAATAAAGTCATATAGTGAGGACGATGTCCACAAGAGCATCAAATATAATATCTGGGCTAGCACACCTAATGGTAATAAGAAGCTGGACTTAGCATACCAGGATGCTCAGCAAAAGTCTGGAGGCTGTCCTGTTTTCCTTTTCTTCTCAGTAAGTTTCTGGATTTTTACCTGTTGTAGCCTGCTTGATCTCATCATAGTTATTTATTTATTTATATATTCCTTTGTTCTATCTTTATGTCTAGGTGAACACTAGTGGGCAATTTATTGGTGTAGCGGAGATGACTGGGCCTGTTGATTTCGACAAGAGTGTTGAGTACTGGCAGCAGGACAAGTGGATAGGTTGTTTCCCTGTCAAGTGGCACATTGTGAAGGATGTACCCAACAACTTGTTGAAGCACATCATCCTAGTAAACAATGAGAACAAACCCGTAACTAATAGTAGGGACACACAAGAGGTATACTACTGCCATTTTTTGTCAACATTGATATGCCACTCTGATGATCCATTTCTTTATTTTACTGGAAGGAATACTCGAAGGATCCCTTTTCCATTATCAAACCACAAAAATCTCTTTTTGTAGGTTAAACTGGAGCAGGGTCTCCAGATGCTCAAACTATTTAAAGATCATGCCAGCAAACAAAGCGTCCTGGATGATTTTGATTTCTATGAGGATCGGCAGAAAAGAATTCAGGATAAGAAAGCCAAGCAACATCAGTTTCTGAAGCAGGTACTATAAAACATGATTTGGCTTTTCTACTAGGTTGATTTAATGGATTTTTGGGCCATTGTCCTGGTTCTATTATGGAATACTATTCTTACCACCTACTAAAATCTCTTTTTGGGAGGGACATTATTCTTGATTCTATGTAATGACCTATGGTTTGTCTGGTTTAATTAACAGGCACAGCAATGGGAAGGAAAACTCAGCGAAGAGAAGAGCAAGGAAAACGGGGAAGGTAAAAATGGGGATCATAAATCTCAAAAGTCATTAGAAGTTGCCTCGGATTTGATGAAGGAAGCTACACCAAAAGTTGTTTCTAATGGGGATAGGAGCCCCTCAAAAAATGGATATTTATCTAAGTCTGGACAGTTGCTGGAGTCTTTAAAACCTGTTACAGTTTCAGAGGAGAAGATTGTAGCAAATGGGGTTGCAAATGGTTGCTAGCTTCTGACCTGCACAGGGATGATCCATGTTGGAATGTGTATGACGAAAGAATATTAAGTTCAGATTGGATTGTCCTGTTTCATGATCAATGCTCCCGTCTTGTTCAGTATGTATCTGCTGCTTGAGAAATTTGCTGACTGGTAAGTGGGAGCGCTTAGAATTCATTCTCAAAGGGTGACAGGCTTTGAGTAACTTCTCTAAGAATATGGAAAGCTTGAGGCCCCATTTTTCCTCATGATGGGTTTGTTTCTGTACTAGGCTGGTAAAAGGTTTACATGTCCCAACAGGGTTTGGGTTTAGGGCTTTTTAAATTATAGTTTTTGTATTGTGCCTCTCCTTTTTCTCCTGCTGGGAAAGACCCTTATTTTACTAGTTTGATATCCAACCTATATGGTAAATCAAGTTCTACTTTTGTACCTACCACCTGTAAAAGAGAGCTAGAATCTAGGTGGCGAAGCATTGAACTGCAATATTAGTTTAAGAATTCTTGCATTTTCTTTTTATATCAGTTTATCTAAACCATAAATAAAGTAATAGCAGAGGGAGGTGTTAATGCTATTCATTGCCTGTAGGATCCTTGATTCATTTTAACATGAATAATGTTAAAACTACATAAATTTTATTAAACGTTAGTAATAGGCACTTTCGGCCCTCCTTTTCTGTTTGATTAAAATCCGCCGCGTGTGGTTTGATTAATAATAATAAAAAAGCATTCAAATTGGTGTTCATTTTACTTTATGATCAATAATTGTGGAGTATGATCTCTACTTCCATCTATGATGAATAAAAATACTGTCGAATGGATTAAAAACATAGCATAATTTTATTGAATAGGAATAATGTTATCTAACACATTATCTTTAGCAACCAACAATGATTAAGATCTATAATTTGTAATTGTAATTTTTTTATTTAAATTTTTTGTGGATGGTAGGCCTCATTTTCATATAGATTGATATTAAGCACCAATGATATTATATAGCGCTGCTCATTAGATAATAAAGGAGGACAACCAAAATGGAACAAGTTGATCATGATGTATGATAGGTAACATTACACGATATTGGAGTTAGGCCGGGAAGCTAATAAATGAGGACAAGTTGGTCATGACGTATGATAGATAACATTACCTCGAATAGTCAAGAGACTTTTTGCTTTTAAAGACCTTATTTTATAATTTAGAGAACAATTATAAATTTAATGAGTAATTTTTTTTAATAATATAATAGTCTTTTTATGTTTTAACACTTAATTTTATTATTTCCATTATTTATTTATTATTTTTCCACATCTTTTATTTTTACTACTTCTCTCCAAATTATTATATTATATCCCTCCATTTTCTTTGTATATACTATTTAGTTGAGTCAATATATGTAACATTGAAAATTGGAATATTTTAAATACATTCAATTATAAAGTGCGTTTGACTCTTCAAAATTGGAGATGCTCTTGGAGTATAATTTTAAAGTAATGCATTTCCATCAAATAAAAAACTATCATGTGTATGTCACATAAAATGACCACTGATAGTCTCATAACTTTAAGAATTTGACTCTTTAAAATTGGGAAGCAAATATGGTAGGGAGGAAAATTAATGTGAATTGAAGGCCTCTGCCACAAATTTTTGCTGCCCACCCTTTTAAATGCACCATTTATTATCCTCGGTAAATTAATTAAATTAAAATACTAAAATAAGACTAATATTTAACAGGGTCCTTATTTGAGACTCATTCTTCAAAATTTTATTTATTTTTTTATTCTAAAAATTCATTTTTAATCATATATTCCTTCAATAAAATAATTTTACACTATCAATTCCACGTAAGACATGATTAAAAATTTGGCTTAATGGTAGAAAACTCTACATACTTGACGATGTAGGAAATACTCCTCCTACCCATTGGAAATATCAGAGGTCCTTGTTTGAAATCTTTTTGTTCAAAATACAACATTTTAGGTGAGAAAAACTCCACGCCGTCCACTTTCGTTAATTTAACCGTTAAAAACCGTAAAAATTGCAAAAATTAAAAACATAATTACAGATACACTCCAATACTTTTTATTTATTTTGCAAATTATATTTAAATTTTTTATACGTGTCACTTACAATTCCAAACATTTAAACTCTATTTTATTCCCCACCCCATCCCACCCCCATCTTTTTCCAGAGTTTTCTGTCCCCCACTGGCGAAAATGAGCCAAATATTCTTCTGGGCTCTCGGCCAAATTCAACACTACGCACGACATAAACAACCTTCAATCTTATAATAGAAATGAAATATATACGTAGCACGATTGGGAATTCGAGAAAAACCCAAATGAAAACCTGCCAAGATTTTACAAGAAAACATGCAAAGACAATAAATTCTTATATAATAATTAAAAAAGGGTGTAAAAAAAAAGGATGGGTCACCTCAAAAAGGAAGAACGAGAATGGAAGATCTGCAGAACCCAATGAAACTTCATCTTACAACCAATGGTGTGGATTTTATATGAGTATATGATGATGGTTTCAATTTGATTGATTGACAGACGGATTGAATTATGATTAAGTCATTGCTTCTCATTCACGGCCAGCCAGTGGCATCTCTGTGTGTTTTGTGGCGTGTTGCCAGTGCACAATTATGAGCAATGCTATTGTATATAGATGTGTACATAAGGTGAGTGGGAGTGGGGCCTATGCTACAGTGTCGTGGTCTCACCACACTCACATTATGTACACTCTTATGTACACTATGCTACAGTGTCGTGGGCTCCACCACACTCACGTTATGTACACGCTTATGTACACACATATGTACAAGTAGATTAATCCCACAATTATTACTGCGTTAGCTTAGCTTACCGAAAGAAAATGTGATAAAATTCAATAGAGGCTGAAGGGAAAATGTTGGCACAATGATGCAATGACCATTGGGTCTGATTGAGCTGGCCCAACTGGAATTGAAGCCCAGCCCAAACATCTGTTATGTTTTACTTGGTGCAAGAAAACGTGTTGGTCCGTGTAAGCTGAAATCGCGTTTTCTCTTTACCTTTTATTTGGACGCTTGTGATGTCACCATGTTTTATCTTCAACGTCGTTGGATTGGTGGCTATTAGGTAACTCATTTAAAAGGACTTCTAGGGTTTGAGACTTCAACATTGGCTTCGAGACTCTTCTATTTTCTCTCTGTAGCTGCGCCGTTTACTTCGTGTTCTCTTCTTCTATGTTGAAATCAAAGATTCTCATTTTGATTTCTAGTTTTCTCTCAATAGTGTATAATCTTTAGTGATTTACTTGTTTGATTCTTGTGTGAATCGTATGTTGCGAAGAGAGATATTTTATTTTGTGTAATAATCGGTCTGGTCTGAGTGCAATCTCGTTTGTATTCTTACCTTGGGGTCTAATTTGTATATAATAGTGGTTTTTTCTTGAGGTTGAAGCACATATTATGAACTTTAGCCCGAGGGCTTCTTTTGTGAATAAAAGATACGGTTTCTTTGATTCTTTTCACTTCGTTTAGTTTATATTTTTGTACATATATTCTATTGATTTATATGCTAATCAGTGTGAGCTCCTCCCAACAGTGGTATCAGAACATCTAGAGGGAGTTCTTGATGCGTTAGGTGTTCGATCTTGACACTGAAATTCTTTTTTGAGCCTGACTGCGTGATTTCTTGAAACCCTAACCGAGGGGCTTTGGTGAGATCTTTACAATTTTTGGTTATCACATTTCTATAGAGCTATTCATATAGTGTTGAGTGTTCTGCCTTATTGGTTTCTGCCTAGTGTGGTTTGATACTGCCTTGTGTTGGTTATACTGTCTTGTTTGATTTTTTGTTTTGGTTGAGTTTACTCAATTGTTGGGTATTCTGCCTAGGTTGAATATTTTCTGCCTATATGGATTATCTGACTTGTGTTTTGAAAACTTGAATCATTGACTCCTTGTAATTTTTTTGTCCAGAAACCAAGAGTTGTCTGGAATCTGAGGGTTACTTGGATCAAAGTCAAGATTCTTGATAATCTTGATTTCTGAAAAACATTCTACAATATTATATAAGCTTGATTGAAGTTCTGTATGTAACGCCCCAAATTCTCGGAACTCGAAGCGTTAAAAGAAATATTCATCTTCTTTGTTCGAACCCTTAAATGTTAACCAAAATAAGTTTTAAATGATAAAAGTTTTGAAATCTGAAACATATAGGAAGATGGAATGGAAATTTTTTGTTCGTATAGATTTGGACAATTTGGTGAAATTTTATTTTGGAAAACATTTGGAGGAAATTCAGCAAAATACCGGTTACGCAGCAGCGGAAAGGAAAATATGTTTGACCTAGCAAATGTTATCAAAAATTTGTGAAATTTTAACAGAGACTATAAAATTCATATATGTACAACATATAAAAATTTGGGGTCTAGACGAGAAGCATGAAAATACTACACAACTACGCTGGACAGAAAATTCGAAACAGTCCCAATGTAGTTTACTAAAAAGGTCATAACTTTTTCTCTAGATACTATTTTAAGGTAATTCGAAAGACCACCATTAGAAGACTCATAGGCCTTTCAAATGCCACTGATTTCACTCTAAAACATGCATTATAGCCCAAGTTATATAATTTTCAAATTTAATGGCAGAATCTGAAATTCAAAACAGCAGTAGATAAACATCATGCATTGTCAATTCAACATTTGTAAATTATAGTTGACATGGAAAGTACATGAAATTGAACGAGATAAACATTAAAAACATTGTTAAGAGTGTCATCTAAACATTCATAAAAAGGTTTAAACAACCGGAAATTTTTACTAGAAAGTTGAAAGCAATTTCAAATTTGCCGAGCACTCGCCACCATACCAAACCACTGCCATGCCTCGATTTAACCTGTGAAATTTTAATAGGGGTGAGTATCATAAATAATACTCAGTAGGAAGACACTTAAGTAATTGGTAAAAATAAATGTATTTTCAGAAATGCAAACTTTGGTTATTTGTGTCACCGTCTTTCTCTAGCAAA